AAACTGGCACGGGAATAACAACAATCCCCTTAACCTGATCGAAAAAAATGATAACTTCACTTTTATGTGTGTGTGGGCAGAAATTCTCAATACGAAGACATAATTATAAGTTGCTTTTTCTGATCATTTATTACGACGTGCTTCATAGTTATTAAGATCAATTTCGAAATTTTACTGCAACTATGTGCCTTACGATTAGGTCAACGAACGTGGGAAATACCCCAGCGAACTACCTGCTTTGCGTACGAATCCCTGTGGGACTGCAGTTCCACGACCGACTACAGCAAAGTGCACACGCTACTGCCAGCCCTTGTGAAAAAAAAACCTTCCAGACTTAGGGAGAACATAGACTAGAAGGTAATTGTGAGGGTAAAGACAGAACCGCGGGCTGCTTATGTTGAGAACATTATTCACCTTTTAAAACGCTGATACATAAGTTGTGTGAGATGCTACTGGATCGTGTGATACTTTTAAGGAATCCAGCTTGATATGAAGCCCCAATAGCCCATTATTTACACTGAACTCAGATTGAGAGGGAAACACAGAAATTTAGGTTGTTTATCGAAACCATCGTAATGCCATTGCATAGAGAAACTCTACCTGCAAGGAAGAATTCTAGTTCACTTTTGTAAGATAACGGTACTACTTTAGAGCGCTACTCATTTAGTGCGGATCATGTGATTTTTCAGAGCCATAATGCTGCGGCAGTAGGTTAATTAGCGAAATTTGCGAAAATGCGTGCGCTTGACCTGCATGAGTGAACACTAAGGCGTAACCTACGATGCACCAGATATTACCTGTGTGTGGTGAGAAGCCTACGGGTGTAGGCTGCTTGCGGTGGCAGTATCTGTGTACCAAATACCGCCAATAACTATCCTACTCACAAATAACACTGATGAAAAAAATGTTAACCATTAAAGATTGGAACGTTAGCAATGGAACCATCGTTGCACTAAAATAAAACGTGCCAGATGGGTGCGGGAGCTTTTAGTTTTCATATGTATGTGATCTTATATCAGATATATTGCAAAATACTGCAACCCTGGCGTGCTGACCACCGCTGTTGATACATCCGATGATAGATACTGTTTATAATCCAACCAGCCAAGCGAATAAAGTTCTTGCTTGATTAATAGATATCCTTTGGAGGTGCGCAACAAGTCGAGGAATTATACACTGACCTCTTACAAATTTATGTTGCTGGATCGCCCAATTGGGTTCAACTTGGAATGCCTGAAAATACCACCAACGCAGAGATGGACGGACGATAAGTAAGCAGTAACTTATTCTCAGAAATCGCGCAATACTAAACTTTGCAATGGATTGTTCTATCTTCTCTTTATCGTCAACATTTTCCGCTCTTCCTCGTTCAAAGGATTGAAAACAGTTTCTTTAGGAAAACATAAACAAAACGGAGAGTAAACAGACAGACCTGACTAAGACTCAAAGCCGGTTAAACACTTAGTCTGTTTGGTTGTCCTAAGCAACTTCACCGTGGGACCACTGTATTAAAATATACACAATGATCCTGTTTAGACAACAGGTTCAGACGTCCCCAAATCATGCACGATATGTGCATGTCTCTTTTTTCAATTTAAGAACATGTCCACATAGACTGAATCTTTCCTTATATTTACTGCCACAGAATCATGGAGTATACTGGGAGGCGTGGAGTATATATACTCCACATATAGCCACCGCATAGCCACCAATTCTCACGCAATCCATGCATGAATTACACAAAGTCAGCGAACGAAAATTTTATTACCGTATTAGCATTAACGTAAGGTAGCTGCTTTATTTTAGTAAACACTTGGGTATCAATCAGCCTATGAATTCTTGCCGACTTATAACTGTAAGTTAGTATACTTCTAATATGCGTGGATTTATTCTGTAAACAGTCCCTTCCAACAGCGTGACAAAAATTGCCATTTGCTACTGAGCAAGAAGAGTTTTTTGAGAGCTAAGAAATACTTTTTAAATGGCCGAATAACCACCTTGAGATCACGAGTGATCGACCAAAGAAGTGCGCATTTATTCCAGCCCACTAAAAACAGGACGGTTCATGTTTCATCAATAGAGGGTAGGGAACGGATCCGTGGGCACCCCTTCTTTGCAGTCATCGGACATATGGGAGTTTTCAGGTTAGACCAAT